GGCGTTGACGGCAGAGCGAGCGGTTCAGGACGACCCGATGGAGATCGGAGCGCTGAAGGGCGGAAAGAGACCGTGGAAAGGCCGCGGCAAAGGGAAAGACGGCAAAGGCAAGGAGAAGCCACCGAATCCCGACGCCGAGATCGAGTGCAACTACTGCCACAAGAAGGGCCACCGCAGCGCAAACTGCCGAAAGCGGATCGCCGACGAGAAGAAGACAGCCGAGAAGGACAAGAAGGACAAGAAGCAGCTCCGAAAAGAGAAGGTAAAAGAAAAGAAGAGGATCGGGGCAGCGGCAGTCAAGGAGCTCGAAAGGTTACGACAGACAGGAGTGGGCACAGGAACAAGCTCGGCAGCACCGACACAACAGATGCTGGGAAGTCAGGGCAGCGCCGACAGCGCGATGACTCAGCAGGTGCTGCGCCCAGTCAACTGTGCGCTGCAAGCGAAGATGATTCTGGCCCTGAGGGCAGAGGTCACAAGAAGCGCAACCACACGATCGACTGGAAGTACTGCTTGCCTGGCTACTACCAATATGACTGCAGCTCTTGCAAGAAGACCTTTGAAGGATGGCGATGGCACTACGCTCAGTGGCAGCTGGACTTCTGTGCCGTGTGCGCCGAGTACTGCCTGGACAGCTGCAAGGACGGGGAAGAGCCAGACGACAACAAGAAGCCAAAGCCAAAGAAGCGCAAGAAAGACTAGATTCGTCGCTGTCGGCTGTAAGTGCTGCGATATGCCAGCTGCGGTGAGCCCCGCGCTGGCCGGCCCCAGGCCTGTTACCGTCGCTGGTCTTCGGCCCGTGGATGAAGATCAGAGCCCTGCGGATGACCGATTGCGGTTAGCCCCGCTTCGGAATGCGATCATGCTCGACTCAGGTGCGCAGATTAGTGCGGTACCGAGGTCACAGGTGACCAAGCACAACTACACGCCGACGGACAGCAACGTTGTCGGCTTGAAGGGCATAGGAGGCGAGGAGATCGAGAGGTACGGCCACGTGGAGCTGAACCTATCCCGAGGAGGAGAGGTTATTCAAGTCGGTGCTGAGGTTGCCGATGTGGAGTACCCGGTTGTGGCTACAGACGCTGTAGTACAACGTGGTCAGAGTGTTCTTCATAGCCCTGCAGGTCACTGGATCATCAACGGTACCATCGAGCCACCTGACGGAGCTGAGTTCGTACCTCTACGTCGTCACCAAGGCAACTACTACTTAGAGTACGATCACATCATCGACGGCCAGACTCAACCAGAAGCTTCACAGGTAGCTGCAGTACGAAAGACACTACCGAGGAAGGTACCAGCTGAACATGAAGCTGGATCTTTGCCGAAGGTTCTAGGTCCCGAAGCTGATGAGACCACAACTGTGCCAACGAGAGTGTTGAAGACTCCTCACCAACCTAGTGCTGCGGAGAGGGCCGCGCACGAAGGGCATCATCTACCTTTTCGGCCTTGGTGTCCTATCTGCGTGCAGGCTCGAGCAGACGATGACCCCCACTACGCTCAAGAACCAGCTGATGAGAACCAGATCCCGAAGGTGGTGTTCGACATCTTTTATGTAGGGACGGACCAGCTGGCTGCGAAGTACAAGCTTAAAGGAGGTTACTTCAGCATCAGGGAGAAGACGTCGGTCACGAAGGCCGAGTTAGACCAAGCGATCTCTGTCTTGAATATTATCGACTGTAAGATCTTGGCTCAGGCGACGTTGTACGCGAACAAGGAGATGGATGACTACAAGGTGTCCTTCCTGCTAGGCGTGCTGGAAGCTTGGGGTCACACAACAGTCATACTTCAGACAGACTCGGAGCCTGCCACCTTGGCTCTGGCGAACGCAGTTCGAGATCGCAGATCACACTCAACCTTGGTGCGGGGATCACCGCCCTTTTCCAAGCAGAGTGCAGGCTACGCTGAAGGAGGTAACAAGCTAGCAGCTGGTCTACTTCGAGCCTACAAGCTGAAACTGGAGCACAAGCTGGGCAGCGAGATCAAGATGACGGATCCGATCGTGCCATGGCTTGTGAACTCAGTGGGGTGGATGATCACCAGATTCCAGCCTCGCAGTCACGGAGGTTCCTCCTACAAGATGCTCTACGGCAAAGAGTACAACGGCGAGATTGCGGAGATGGGTGAGCAGGTCTGGTATCGGATCTCAGCCCGAGTTGCCGCGGGACGTGGCAAATGGGAAGCCCGCTTCGCAAAAGGAATCTGGGTTGGTAAGAGCGAGCTGGACGACACACATCTCGTGATCGATCCTGAACGTGGAGTGCAGAAGGTGAGAACGGTGCGAAGGATGCCTGAGGAGTTCAGGTGGCAGCCCGAGCTCATCCAGCACATCAGGGTGACGCCCTGGAAGCAGACGCCCGACAAGAGTTCAGGAACCATCGGACGCAGTATGTACATCACGGAGCGCATGATCGATGCTCATGGTCCTACCGACGATTGCAGGAAGTGCAGTACAGGATACGGTTCGCATTCGGCAGCCTGCCGTCAGCGTTTCGAGACCATTCAGGCCGACTTGCTGCGCGAGAAGTTGGCGAAGGACCCTGTGGCCCCTGAGGCTACAGTCGTGGTGCCAGCGCCGGCTGCGGGAAACCCCGCGCCTGGAGCCGCACCCGGAGGAGCAGCGGCATCAAGCAGCAGTGAGGTTGCGGTGAGCCCCGCACCTGCTGCCAGCGACGTAGCTATGGTTCCTGGCCCAGGAGAGGCTGAGGTGCCGACAGCCATGGACACGGAGAGTGGAGAGCTGAGGAGCGACTTTCAGCGAAGTGCCCCAGGTGAAGTTCGTGAAGGAGCTGAGGTCAAGAAGCCCAGGGTAGCAAGCATTGGGCATCTCTCTGTCTGTGAGTTGGCAGTCTGCGAGGAGGGCTACGACGAGAGCTTCGACCCCATGTGGGATCCACACCCAAAGCGTAGTGCGAGATGTTCCGAGAGGTGTGAGAAGCACTCGTCACGATGCCAGCTACGAGAACGCCACCAAGCTGAGTGTGCATGCAGGAGATGTTTGATGAGCCACATCGGCACGATCAGGAGCCACTTAGGAGATCCTGAGGAGCAGCAGGTGGAGCAGATGGTTGAGGTGAGCGCCGAGCTGCATGAGAAAGACCAGTGGAGCCCAAAGACGATACACTACGATTACTACACTGGAGAGCCTCTGGATGAGGACCTGTATCAGAAGGGTCGCGACGACGAGCTGCAGGCCATGAAGGACTACGGGGTCTACGTGGAAGTGGCGACATCGACGGCGACTGACGGCAAGCACATTGGAGGTTTCCCGATAGCCCACATGAAAGAAGGAAAGGTTAGGTGGAGGTTCGTAGCCACCGAGGTGAACAAGTACGAGGTCAGGGAGGATAACCACCAAGGCACGCCCCCGCTCATGATTGTCAGAGCGACGCTGAGCCGTGCCGCTTCAAGTCCAACTTCCAGCGGGCAGCACCTGCGGAAGATACAAGTTTGGGACGTCAGGAAGGCTTTCTTCAACGCTGACTTAGACGAGACGATCTACGTGCATCCTGGGAGAGAACTGTGTCCGCCCGGAAGGTGCTGGTGGTTACGCAAGGCCATGAACGGTACCAGGAAGGCGTCGCAGATGTGGGGTGAGCTTGTGAGAACTACTATGGACGACGGTCATT